TTTTTCTTCAATCTTTTTCCTTCTTGTTCCTCAGGATGTAAAATCTCACATTGGCCTTTCTTTCAGTTCATTCACTGATTCTTTCTCTATCTGCTGAAATGGGCTGTTGAAATCCTCTAGTACCTTTTAAAATTTCAGATATTATGCTTTTTGACTACAAAATCTCTGATTCTTTTTCATAATTTCTATTAATTGAAATTCTCTATTTGGTAAAAATTTTGTTCTCTTACTTCATTTCCTTAGACATTATTTCCTTTAGTTCATGAGCTGATTTAAAGATTTTTCAGTTTCCTATGTCTGACTTCTTCATGGATGATTCCTATTGATTAATTTCCCCCCCCATCTATTGATCATACTTTCTTTTCTTTGCCAGTCTAATATTTTATTGTTGATGATGTTGTTGAAACTATGGATTTTAAATAATATAATGTGGCAACTCTGGAAATTAGGTTCTCCTCACTTCCCTGGGTTTTGGCTATTTGTTGTTTGTTTTGTTGTTGTTGTTGTTTAGTGACTTTTCTGAGCTAATTCTGTAAAGTTTGCAGTCTCTGTATCATGAGGCCACTGAGTCTCTGTTTTGTTCATATATTCCCCTGTTCATTATGAGTAGAGATTTCAATTACCACCTGAAATCATTAATCCTCCCAATCATCACTGCAGGCTCTGCATATGTGCTGGGGAGTGCCTTCAACACTCAGCCAGGTGATTTCCACCTTGCCTTGGTTTCCCTTCTTGCTTATGCAAAATCTCAAGGTTAATCCAAGGTGAGAGCTTGGGGCCATCCCTGCTGTCCACAGGCATGAGGTCCACAGATCTGCAGAATATAGCACAGACTTTCAAAGACCCCATGGGGAGCTCTCAGGCCTCGGCTTTTCTGTTTAATCATTTTAGGCAGGCTTTTGCTTGCTCCAACTGTTATTTTCTGCTTTAAGCAGCAAGACACACTATTCAATTGCCTCTGATTGTTTTTAACAAATGCCCAAGAGGGAATCAGTTATTTGAACTGGGTGCATTCTGGGTCAGGTCAAACAAAGGTAACTTTGCAAGTGGGCTTTCCAGGGATGGTCAAGAAATGATAATTCTCTCAGGGCGGGACTCAACAAACACTAGTAGCTCCATTTTGCCTCCTTCTGTGTCTGTAGGGGATGCTGGATTTCCCGTGATTTACAGCTGTGGGTTTTCAAGATTACCTTGGAGGTCAGGAGTGGAGAAGAGGGACAAGGGAATGAAGCAGACCAGGAACGCCACCCAGAAGACCCTTATCATAATTAAGAAGAAAGACCACCATGTTTGTAACATATAAGTTCTGCTTCTCATCAAAAAGCTTTTCACAAAGAATATAAGCAAAAACTTTTCAGAGGGCATTGTGGTGTGTAGCTTCCTTTTTTTTTTTTTTTTGTAAAAGCCAGGTTTGCAGGAAAAAAAAATAATAACTTGTAAAACTTCGATCTTAAAAAAAAAGCACAAAAACACTTGTCATGAAAATCTTCAAGCCCCTCCTCTCACGGGGTATAAAGTTCAAAGAACTTCTAGATTCTTCATCCAGAGAATGTTTCAGGCGATAGCCTCTCTGGAACCTGCAGTCAATAAACCTGCCTCCTGAAAATTCCTCTGGTGTCTAGATCATTTTCACAAGTATTCTCATTGTTTCTATGGGGAAGAGAAGTTTTGGAGACCCTTAGCCCACCATTTCTGTTGATGTCCTCAGCTCTGGGTTTTCGTTCAAACCTTACCCAATGGGATCTTTCCCAGCAAATGTACAGGAAAAATTCCTTCTAAGTTTTCCTTTTTCTAGATAATTATAGAACCCCATTAAAAAGTCTCCTTTTAAATTTCCTAACCCTATTTGAAAAATGTCCTGTTTCCTTCACTTTATTTTCTCTTAGGTCAATGGAAGCTGGTGACACAGGAACACCACACAGTGCAACTTTGTTCCCTCCTGCTATTTTTTCCCTCCAAGCAGACCTTGACCTCTAGCCTCAATTTTGCAGCTGCCTCTCAGCCTCTGCCCTTGGAGGCTCTTGCCTCTCTGCTCCTTGCTGGAGTTCACCTCGCCATGGCAGGAAACACTTTCAGATTGCCTGTCTCTAAACTCCTGCTGGTCCCCAGCTGCCCCTGCAGTTTTAAAATTTTATTTCACTCTTCCTTTTTCTAATTCATCTTGGTTGTTTTTCAAGGGCAAAGGCATTCCAACTAGAGACTACAGAGCTTGTGATGTGGGGTACAGGGGACAGAGGATATTGGGAAAGGTCATGGGCATGAAATTCCCATCCCAGTCCCTCTAACCAGATCCTCTGGGCTTTCATGTGCTTTATTTGATTGAACTTCTCTGTAAGACTTTTTAACAAAGTACTTCCTGATAAGAGAAAAAAAAAGTTTAAAAAATCATCTCTCTCAGGAAAACAATTCCATTATTGCCACAGATGAGACTGATATAATACAGAGCCTAATAAAATTAAAGCCCAGTCTTAAACAATCTCTATTTTATATGACCAGAGACTGATAGAATACAGAACCTAATAAAATCAAGGAGACCACCCTTAAACCAGCCCTATTTCACATGACCACCTTAAAGAACAGAATCCTCTAGAACTTCATGCACAAAAGTTAAGCCTTTTATTATATAGATAAGGAGGCTCCAGCCTGGGGAAGGGTTTACCCAAGGTCAGATGCTGGTATCGCCGGAGTCCAAGGCTAAATTAACAGTGTGTTGGTGGGTGTAGACCTTTCTCAGTGTCTTCAGAGCATAGCATATTTCTTAGCCACAGTAGTTCTTAGCACAGTGTATTCATCCATTTCCTATTGCTAAAAACATAATACCACAGACTGGGTAAGTTAGAAGGAAAAGAGGTTTATTTTGGCTCACAGTTCTGGTTCAAGATTGAGGGACCACATCTGCTGATGACCTCCTTGGTGACAGAGTCCCAAGGTAGTGCAGGGCATCACCTGGTGAGAGGCAAGGTGTGTGCATGTATGTCATTCTCTCTTCTTATAAAGCCATTAACATTCAATCGACAGGGAACCCACCCTATGGCAATTATCTCCTTCTCTTTATAAGGTCCTTGCTTAGCATCTGGATGGCCATCTTCAGTGACAGCCACCATTGAAGGAAAAAGTTCCTTTCTGAGAAAGGCTCACCACTCCCTCCTACTAACCCAACCCCTAGCTGTCTGCCTTAAGACCTGCCCGGCTCTGATTCCTGAGCCTGCCCTTAAAAAGTCCCAGAATCCAAGCCTGTTTTGCCTCTCTCGGCTCTAGAGAGATGGCCTTTGTCAGCTCTGACAAACAAGCTCTCGTTTGTATCTCTGCCTGGCCTCCCTCTTTCCTTTACCTATCTCTTGTTCCTCGCTTTCCCTTCACTAATCACCTCCCGAGGGCCCCACCTCTGACTCTCCCAGTGATATTAAATTTCTACCTCTTAATCCTTCCTCACAAGAGGGACGACACTCCAACAGGAGTTCTGGAGAGGCACACCATATTCAACCCTAGCACACAGACATGAGTCATTCTCCTCTTACCAGTTGAGGCCCTTTTCACCGTAGCTCACCGAAGGCCATGTCTGCTCTTCCTCCCTCTTCAGGTTCTGTGTCTTCTTTGATTACTTCTGTTTCGAAGATGACAGCAAATCTTTTCAAAGGTGCTTGTTTTAATAATGTCTACCCTACCTGTTTCAATGCATTTTTAAATTTTTTACATACATGACAATAGTGGAATGCGTTACATTCATGATTATCCATTCACAGCACAATTTTTCGTAACTGTATATAAAGTATGTTCATGCCAAATTATGCCATTATACATGAGCTCTTTTATTTTTTTGCATACAATTCTTAATACACCTTTATACCACCATTTATCATATCTCTGTATATAAGGTATGTTGACACCAAATTCACGTCTTCATACATGTATTTTGTATAATGATGACGGTCTCCTTCCACCATCCTTGCTATTCCCCTTCTCCCTCCCTTTCCCTCCCACTCCTATTCCCCATCTAGAGGTAATTTTCCTCCCATGCTCTCCCTCCCTACCCCACTTTGAGTCACCCCCCTTATATCAGAGAAAACATTTGGCATTTGTTTTGGGGGGGGGATTGGCTAACTTCACTTAGCACAATCTGCTCTAATGCCATCCATTTCCCTGCAAATGACATGATATTATTCTTTTTTAGTGCTGAGTAACTTAGTTCAAATCTTTAAGAGCAAATATCTATTTGGCTCCATCAAGCCTAAGGACTAGCAACCCTATTCTTCAGTTATTAATCTCTGGTCCAATAAACTGTAGCCAAGGGGGTGGGGTAATCTGAAAATTGTGGTCATCTAGGTTGCTCCTTCAGTGGGTTGTAAAAAAAGTTTCAGAGTAGCAATTAAGTCAAAATAAGGATGGAGAAGAATACCTGCTAGCAGGTCATTCTTTGGACTCATCTTAGAGATCAATATATATAAAGTCCAGGGTTCCATAAATGTATTTATGAACAACTGGTACAAATGAACAACCAGTAGATGAATCCTACTCTCCAGAGAAACACAATCAGTAAGATTCTTGTTTGATCTTTATAATACAATAAACAAATAAATAAAAGAATTCAGCTTCTGCAATTAGGCAGACCAGCAAGTCCAAATCCAAGTGTGGGGTGACAGGCTAGAGACCCGGAGAGCTGAAGGTGTGGGTTAAACAGAAATGCATCAGTTGGAGAATTCCCTCTCCCTGTGTGTGTGGGGGGTGTCTTTTTGTTCTATTAAGTTTTCAACTGATGGGATGAGGACCACCCACATTCTGGAGGCACATCTTGTTACTCAGACTTTACTGATTTAAATCTTAATCTCATCCACAACGCACTCCAAGTGGACATATAAAATTAGCCGTCACACCTGCTTTCTAGGATCACAGCCAACACAGTTCAGGTAGCGCAGAGTGAATGAAGGTGATTCTCCATCTGCCTCGGTGACTCATTTCCATTCACTTGTCAGGCAGTCCAAAACACCCTCACTTTTCCTTACCTAAATTTTACAAACTCTCCCATTTATAGCAGGGTCAGAGAGAATAAAGGGGCTGATGGAAACAAGTCAAGGCTGAGCCCTCTCCGAGCAAAGTGGCTGTTTTGTCTTTAGAAGGTCTCCTTGGTGAAAGGCCCTGGAGGGTGACAGGTGACAATTAACCAATGTCATATTTTTACCAGTGGATAAGTGATTATTTCAGAATGACTCAGTACCTTCTGTAGGAGTTTGATAACTCATTAACTTTTACACAAATCTGTTCATTAATAAATAAACCTCCAACTGATGTGACCACATGGTAGGATTTCCACTGAGTAATGTCTCTGTCTCTCTCTCTCTCTCTCTCTCTCTCTCTCTGTCTGTCTCTCTCTCTCTCTCTTTTCTCTTCTCTTTCCCCTGGGAAGTCAGAACAACGTGTTCCTGATCAGTGATACCCACAGCTATAAAATTAAATAATGCCACAAGACCTGATCCATGGAAATGCAGCAGAGAGAAACTGATTCACATCAATAAATCTTTTGAAGTACATGGGACTGTTATGTAAGTGCCAAGAGTTACTACTGTCATTGTGAGGAGATCCTGAGTTACACAGTTGGAAGCCAAGCGTCCTTGCTGAGGAAACACCTTTGCATATACATGGGCCACAGAGGTAAGAGTCCTGCCACCATTACAGTGTAGATGTAAATGGCATGTCCTAGAGCTTGGGAAAGAAACACCCTTGATATCAAACACAGGATATAACACATATGATTTTAGTGTGATGTTTGGTCACATGGTTCTTTCCATCCCTGCAGGTGACTTGAGGATCATTTTCATTTTTGATATATAAATAATCGATTTCTCATTGTTTTCCTTATTAAATACAGCTTTCAAGATATCATCTGCATCTGAGGACTTCTAGACAAGAGTTGTGTTTCGTCAGTTCCATAGTGCTGAGGGTTTCAGGATATTTTAAATTCAACTAAGAAGAATACAATGTGGAATTCACTTGGGATGTTATGTCTTATGCAGTGGCTAAACACACTACTGAAACAGGGCATGGCTATCAAGTTATATTAAGCAATGTGTAGAGGAAGATGAAACAATAAAATCTGCTAAAATATTCTCTTCCTACAATGGTAAAATGGTGTGACTTCCATGTAAGCAGGTGAATGAGATTAACATACAGAAATCACAATACCTGAAGGACCAAGAGTGACATCAACAGTTGGTTATCTGAGTGCAATATCATTTTCTACCTTTATTTTGGACTGCTCTTCTAAGTGAGACACTAGCTCTGGCATTTTCTAATATTTGCCTCGAAAATTGCTTTTGTATTATGTTCATATACTCTATGATGAGGAAGCATCTTGGGAAATAAATGATAAGCAAGTTGGAAAAACTCACATTGAAGAAGTTAGAATTGCCTTGAATCTAGTGGAGCTCTCCCCCTTTTTAAAAATTTCTTTAGTTATTTGAGTTTGTGATATTCACAAAGCTATGTTTAGGAGTTTGAGCATATTATCCTCACTCTATTATTAGGTATGCCATCGAGCAATAGGCGTATTGCTAATTGCATTGTATTCCCCTCAACTCCACTTAGGCAAGAGCTATTGAGTATGAAGCAATGGAGACTTAGTTCAGCTCAGTAATCCTTGAAGTGGTGTGAGACCTTAGTCTAGATGTACATCAAGATAAATGAGACTCGGTCCTCATTACCAAGGAATTCCCAGCTGGTGTCAGAGAAAGACCCATTATGACTATTTACCACAGCCCCAGTTCTCTTGCTTTGAAGCCATCCATATAAAAAGCACAGACTACAGATACTTTGTCCATCCTTATCTTTATTCTCAGCTCAATCCACTGACTTTACTTAGGCCTCCCTACAGCAAACAAGGTCAAGGTCACCAGGTCATGGTAATGAGCCTCTGAGGAGCATAAGATATAGTGATCCCTCTTGTCCTCTGGAAACACTTCCTTCTTTAGGCTTTTAGAACACAGTGCTCTTCCTACCTCCCTGGGCCATCTCAGTCTTCATGGTTGGCTCTTCCTCTTCTAAATTACAGAATCCCTCAGGGTTCAGCAGGCCTCTTCTTTATGCCAGCTCCCTAAAGGGACTTGCCCAGTTCTGACATCCTTCTATTTACCAAATCCTATATCTGCAGCCCAGACCATTTCTCTGAACTTCTACTTCTTTAATAGGCATCTCACATCTAACAGGGCACATGAAACTCCTTCCAAAACATCCTTGTCCCCATTCTTTCCTGTTTCTGTAAATAGTAACTTTATTCTTCTAGTTGCAATTCTCTGAATATCCTCATCCCTACTATTTATCCCTTTATAACATCCAAGAGGAACGATTACCAGTTCTTCCACTCAAACAGTTCTGTGTGGTTCAGCTTTTCATCACTGTGACCAAAACATTGGACAAGAACAACTTAGAGGAGGAAAAGTTTACTTTGGCTCACATTTTCAGAGGTTCAGTTCGTGGTTGGCCAATTCCCCTGCTCTGGGACTGAGATGAGGGAGAACATTATGGCCGAAGAGTGTGGAAGAGGGATGCTTCTGTGTTCATGGTGGCCAGGAATCAGGGAGAGAGAGAAGGAGGAGGAGCCAGAAGGACAAGATATAATCCCCAAGAGCACCCTCTGGTGACCAGTGACCTATCTTCCAATCACTCACCATTGCCCATAGAAACCACCCAGTTAGTCCACTTAAAACCAGGACAGACTGATTATGCTGCAGCTCCTATTGCCTCATATGTGTGATAAATATCAATAGGGAAAGAAATGATGCCAATCATTTCACCTCCAAATATTCCTGCATTAATAGAAAAGCTGTTGGGGGACACTTCATATCCAAATGATAATACTATCCCAGGTGGATATCTGCCTGTTTCTTCTGATCTAAGTCTCTGCCATCATCTCTGGCCTGAACTTCTTTGCCTAACTCTTACCCTGGGTCTCTCTCATCCCAGCCCACATTCTGTTCTTCCTATAGCAATTATAGGGTTTTTATTTTAAATATAAACCTGCTTATGTCATTTCTACACTGTAAATGGCCCAGTGGCCTCCTATTATGCTGAAAATAGACCAATAGTCCTCCTCATGATTTGGAATGCCCATTCTTGATCTAAATCTGACCTTTTTTTTTTCCATTCCTGGGGATCAATCCCAGGATCTCGTGCATGCTAGGCAAGCACCCATCACCCTACCACTTGCTGCAATCTCAGGCTGAATTAGGTCTTTCTGTTTTCATCTTAAAGTTAACATCACTTGCTCCATCTTAGCTTCAGTAGCAGGTTTACTGCTCCTTTCACTTCAAGATTCTTTCTAGCTACTCCCTGAGCTTGAGCTGCTCCTTCTGGAACTATCTTCATGTGGCTTGCTATCTTACCATGGTTAGCAAGCAGTCCATACTCAAATGTCACATTCGCAAAGAAGTCTTTCTTGATCACCTCTCCTCTGCCAACCACCTCTATGTTCTTTCTTTGGAGCATTTACCACTGTGGGCCTGACACTGCATATTTATTTCATACTGTTCAGATCCTCCCTAGAATGTAAACCTCATGAGGCTGTTGACTTTGTCTAATTCACCTCTGTGTCCTGGGCCCTCAAATAGTGCCTAATATGTAGAATAGTGCCTATCGATTTTTTGAAAATACTTTTTAGTTGTAGATGGACATAATGGCTTTATTTATTTATTTTTTAGGTGGTTTTGAGGATTGAACCCAGAGCCTCACACATATGAGGCAAGCACTCTAAGTATTCCTGCATTAATAGAAAAGTTTTTGGGGGACACTGAGCTACAGTCCCAGCCCCTAACAATTTTCTCAAAGAATAAATAAAATTGCTTATATTAAATTTCATGTCCTTTTAATTATTATAAGGAGAAGAATGAACTTGGTGCAAACATAAATATCAATAGGGAAACAAATGACCCCACTCTGTGGAAAGCTGAAATGAAGACTTGTTGGTGTTCTGTCAGGGGTCATTACATCTTCACATTTCTCTCTCTCTCTCTCTCTCTCTCTCTCTCTCTCTCTCTCTCTCTCTCTCTCTCTCTCTACTTTGCTACTGAGGATATGGCACACACCCCTTCCTTTATTATTTCTGTAGCCTGGGGGACTTGAACAGAGCTTGTTTGGAAGGAAAAGAGAAGAGTTGTTGAAGATTCAGTGAACTGACCTGCACCATATAGAACCATCGGGAAAATGGTAATCACTTGGGACGTATTTTGTTATCATCCGAGAGATTTAATTCGGTTAATTATCCCAGGTCTATGTGGTGATCAAACACTCTGCTTTTATGCAAGAATGCATATTTTCTCTCAAATATGCCTCAAGGAAGTGAAAATCGCCCATAGAACTGCTAAGTCCCATTAAATTCTAATTCATAGTGGTAGATTTCCCTTCACAGAAGGACCCTGCAGATCATACTTGGTCCTGGAAAGCTCAGAAATTCTGAATACTCTTCATTTCTAATAGACATGAAACTGCATTTAACAACAAAAATGTAAACCCATAGTTTCACTGTACAAGTTCAATTGAATTGTCCTTCCAAAAACACTCATTGAGCTACAATAAATGAAAAGTGACATATTCAGATGAGGAGAAAAATGAACCCTCTGAACAAAAACACTTGCTAATTAGGCACATTAAATAATTCACTCTCAAAATACAATCAAAGTACCCACATGTGCATTTGATTATCTCCTATTTCTCTACTCTAGACTGCCCTTTGCATTTTTCCTACAGATATTTTTTTCACCCTTATAACTCTCATGTACAATCTCACTGCTTCTAAACTTACAGTATTATAGAGACAGCCAGCATACCCCCAACAGGAAATGAACTACAGTTCTGATTTTATCCCAACAGGAGAAAAGATATGTTTATAATTTCCCAGTAGGAAATCAGATCTCTTTCACTGCTTAGCTTGACAAGATGATGGTATGTCTTTTCCCTCTCTATTAACTCAATATCAAAATAATGGTAACTCAGAGTTAAATAAACAGGAACACACTTCTCACGTCAATCAAAACAGATGCTAAGTTCACTTCTATTGTCAGTTGCATGGAAGTCAAATTCATTACTGAATGTATAATTTTATATCCTCACCATCAAAATCAAAGAGGAAAAAAATGCCAGGTTATAGG